TTTTATTGAAACACCCAAATAGAAGTATAAACCCAAATATATGTATGTATGTATAATATATTTTTCTGCCTCTCAAGTATATCTACATTGAACAATGGCAGCGTTTTGCTGCTAACGAGGCAAGAGTCATAAAAATATTTAGGATTATTTTATTGTTACACAAGCTGTGGGCTAGACTCGTTTGATACAGTCATCCTGGACAACTGTTAGATGGTGTTTACTTTTATTGTATTCTAGATTGAGGTTCAGGGCCCTCGTTAGGAATTGCTGAAGATGAAGATACTTTAACAACATGATTCTTTCTTAATATATATTATATTGCTATATGGGCATATCATTCGAAAAGAAATTTTATTATTCATTTGCCTGTTCTATTCTTTAGTTCAACATTTCATAACACAAACTTAACTTACTATAGGCACTACTTTTTCTTATTGACAACACTATGCATAATTCATTAATTTATTTCAATTCAAATTAAATTACTTAGAAAAAACATGTGTTAAAATTAAGGCAAAAAAGTAGCCAGCTTCCACATATGGCGCCATGTGCAGTTTTTCTGTTACAAGAAAATAAAATAAATAACTGCCCAATGCGGGGCGGCCATAAATCGTGGCTAACAATGCTCGAGAGGCGAGCAAGACTCCTTGGCCAGTTGGCAGATCAGATATCCTTAGTGCATATGTAGTACACACATCCACACACACACACGCACACAGACATGTGTGTTTGTGTGTTTCTTGGACGGGCAATTTCTCTCTCAAAGTGTTTGTGGCGCGCATTGTGGCTGCTGTTTGTGCAATCGCATTAGGGAATTTGCTGCAAAATTTATTACACGTTTGTTTACCAAGTTCCAAGGTGTGATATTTAATAGATTTTTAAATTTGTGCAAAGAGAATAGCCAAAGAGACATGCATTTAATAATTACCAGACATGCGAGAGCTCAAGATTTCCTTGTAGATAAGGTAGAGTCTGAATTCTAAGGCACTTTGCGTGCGAGTGCAAACAGCAGCCATTAGCACTCATTGTCATATAAAATTCATTTCCCTCAACACTCACCCCCAATGCCCCCAATTAAGCGCATGTTTTGCGGACGAGCAGCTGATGTTGCCTCCGGCCTTGTGGCGAAACTTTTTGTCACCTCTTAAATTGCCATTGCCAGTGGGCAAAGAAACACTCATTAAAAGTGCCAAAACTTTTTATGCAGTTGGCTTGTAGGTCGTCCGCTTCTGGCGGTATTTTCAGATAATTGTTTTATTTTACTATATTCTTTTTTTTCTTCAATTTTATAATTATGTGCTAAGACAACAACAGTATGCAGAACATTCGACTGTGAAAAAACTTAAATTTTATTAAGGAATTAAATAATAGATAATAATTTACTGAAATTAGAAAGGAATATAATTTCATCTAACGAATATTCATTTGAAAAATTATACAAATACAGAGATACAGATACTTACACAGATATATAGATACAGATACAAAGATACAGATACAGATACAGATACAGATACAGATACAGATACAGATACAGATACAGATACATATACATATACAGATACAGATACAGATACAGATACAGACACAGATACAGATACAGATACAGATACAGATACAGATACAGATACAGATACAGATACAGATACAGATACAGATACAGATACAGATACAGATATAGATACAGATACAGATACAGATACAGATACATATACATATACAGATACAGATACAGATACAGACACAGATACAGATACAGATACAGATATAGATACAGATACAGATACAGATACAGATACATATACATATACAGATACAGATACAGATACAGACACAGATACAGATACAGATACAGATATAGATACAGATACAGATACAGATAC